CTCCCTCCCTACCCAGCCCCTTCTCACCCAGCCCCTCCCCACCCAGCCCCTCCCTGGGCTGGTGTAACCAGTAGGTTCCCACCAGTAAAACGGCTTGACTGTATATTTGGAGTCTGCACGTGTCTCTCCCCGTGGTCGTGTGGATTTGTCTCCGGGTCCTCCGCTTTCCCCCCTCTTACACATTTGGAACCAACGCGGCGCGTCTAGAGGTATATGTGGCTGCTATAAAGTGGCACGCTTGAAGCCACTTCATTGAGCTGTCACCTGTGGGCAAGGTCGCTTCTGAAGAATAAACAAACCTCTACGTTGCTCGGGTGGCCCTTACCTGCTGAAATAAAATAAGTACTCGTCGTTGTTTTCAATACCCCACGTGTCTCTCACTGTGTACACCACGTGGTGTTTACCACGTGATGTCCCTGTGTATACCACGTGGTGTACGCCACGTGGGTGCGCCCAGAGCTGGGCCCATCAGTTTTAAGAATTTGCTGAAATACAAATTCACCCAGCTTAATAACCAGGCTACAGTCTACATTATAGACTGCCAGTACACTCACCCAGCTTAATAACCAGGCTACAGTCTACATTATAGACTGTCAGTACACTCACCCAGCTTAATAACCAGGCTACAGTCTACATTATAGACTGCCAGTACACTCACCCAGCTTAATAACCAGGCTACAGTCTACATTATAGACTGCCAGTACACTCACCCAGCTTAATAACCAGGCTACAGTCTACATTATAGACTGCCAGTACACTCACCCAGCTTAATAACCAGGCTACAGTCTACATTATAGACTGCAGTACACTCACCCAGCTTAATAACCAGGCTACAGTCTACATTATAGACTGCCAGTACACTCACCCAGCTTAATAACCAGGCTACAGTCTACATTATAGACTGCCAGTACACTCACCCAGCTTAATAACCAGGCTACAGTCTACATTATAGACTGCCAGTACACTCACCCAGCTTAATAACCAGGCTACAGTCTACATTATAGACTGCCAGTACACTCACCCAGCTTAATAACCAGGCTACAGTCTACATTATAGACTGCCAGTACACTCACCCAGCTTAATAACCAGGCTACAGTCTACATTATAGACTGCCAGTACACTCACCCAGCTTAATAACCAGGCTACAGTCTACATTATAGACTGCCAGTACACTCACCCAGCTTAATAACCAGGCTACAGTCTACATTATAGACTGCCAGTACACTCACCCAGCTTAATAACCAGGCTACAGTCTACATTATAGACTGCCAGTACACTCACCCAGCTTAATAACCAGGCTACAGTCTACATTATAGACTGCCAGTACACTCACCCAGCTTAATAACCAGGCTACAGTCTACATTATAGACTGCCAGTACACTCACCAGCTTAATAACCAGGCTACAGTCTACATTATAGACTGTCAGTACACTCACCCAGCTTAATAACCAGGCTACAGTCTACATTATAGACTGCCAGTACACTCACCAGCTTAATAACCAGGCTACAGTCTACATTATAGACTGCCAGTACACTCACCCAGCTTAATAACCAGGCTACAGTCTACATTATAGACTGCCAGTACACTCACCCAGCTTAATAACCAGGCTACAGTCTACATTATAGACTGCCAGTACACTCACCCAGCTTAATAACCAGGCTACAGTCTACATTATAGACTGCCAGTACACTCACCCGGGTCTCTGCTGTGTGATGAGTCTGTGGGTCTCTGCTGTGTGATGAGTCTGTGGGTCTCTGCTGTGTGATGAGTCTGTGGGTCTCTGCTGTGTGATGAGTCTGTGGGTCTCTGCTGTGTGATGAGTCTGTGGGTCTCTGCTGTGTGATGAGTCTGTGGGTCTCTGCTGTGTGATGAGTCTATGGGTCTATGCTGTGTGAGGAGTCTATGGGTCTCTGTTGTGTGATGAGTCTATGGGTCTCTGTGTGAGTTTATGGGTCTCTGTGTGAGTCTAAGGTTCTCTGTGTGAGTCTATGGGTCTCTGTGTGAGTCTATGGGTCTTTGTGGTGAGTCTATGGGTCTCTGTGTGAGTCTATGGGTCTTTGTGGTGAGTCTATGGGTCTCTGTTGTGTGAGTAGTTGATGGGCCTCTGCCGTGTGTCATGCCGTGTCGTCGTCCAGATCAGGAAGGAAATCGCGGAAAACAAAATCAAGATCTACGACTTCCCTGACGCGGAGTACGAGGAGTTGAACAAGATGGCCAAGAAGATCAAGGTTCGGGGCTCACGATGGCGGCGCTCTTGTCGTTGTATTTGCCGACCGTGGTTGGCGATGTTCAATGTCACACGCGCTCTACACACACACACACGTTGACTACGCACCACACTAGGTACTCATTTGCGGCGAGTGCTGTTAGGGTGAGTAGCACCTGTGAAGGCTACCTACCGGCACGTGCCCTCCCACCCCCATGGCCTTTTTAACGACAAACTGATGATATACGTCATCGCGATGGGAAAGGGTTTGGTGTACCGGGTTCATTTTCTAACCAGGGATGGAGGTTGGAGGAGGAGCATCACTAGATTTAAAATGAAGCCATTGGGAGCTGTAATTAGTTTATTAGCAAAACCGAAGTGTAAAAAAGCAATATTTTTTGACAATTTTACACGACGTTTTGCTGGAGATCAACACCCAGGATCATCGGTTGGCAACAAAAACTCCCACCCCAGAGTGACGTTTTGCTAATAAACCCAAATCTGTGAGCATATTGTCACATTATGTGACAACTTGATTTTTTACATTTAAACATGTTTATATTTAAACATTGAAATCATACCTACATAGCTCTGAAACCCACTCAACACTAATGATAAACTCTGCTCACACCAAACACAACATGCATAGATCTTGACTTAAAGTTGTCGTGACTGCAGGAATTCATATTCTATGGTTCTTTAGGTAAAGTCACGTAGATAGAAAATTTTATAAAAATAAAGTGAATACAATTTTTTTAAAAACAATGACGTAGACTGTAGCCTGGTTATTAAGTTGAGTGAGTGTACTGACAGTCTATAATGTAGACTGTAGCCTGGTTATTAAGCTGGGTGAGTGTACTGACAGTCTATAATCTAGACTGTAGCCTGGTTATTAAGCTGAGTGAGTGTACTGGCAGTCTATAATGTAGACTGTAGCCTGGTTATTAAGCTGGGTGAGTGTTCTGACAGTCTATAATGTAGACTGTAGCCTGGTTATTAAGCTGGGTGAGTGTACTGACAGTCTATAATGTAGACTGTAGCCTGGTTATTAAGCTGGTGAGTGTACTGGCAGTCTATAATGTAGACTGTAGCCTGGTTATTAAGCTGGGTGAGTGTACTGACAGTCTATAATGTAGACTGTAGCCTGGTTATTAAGCTGAGTGAGTGTACTGGCAGTCTATAATGTAGACTGTAGCCTGGTTATTAAGCTGGGTGAGTGTACTGACAGTCTATAATGTAGACTGTAGCCTGGTTATTAAGCTGGGTGAGTGTACTGGCAGTCTATAATGTAGACTGTAGCCTGGTTATTAAGCTGGGTGAGTGTACTGGCAGTCTATAATGTAGACTGTAGCCTGGTTATTAAGCTGGGTGAGTGTACTGGCAGTCTATAATGTAGACTGTAGCCTGGTTATTAAGCTGGGTGAGTGTACTGGCAGTCTATAATGTAGACTGTAGCCTGGTTATTAAGCTGGGTGAGTGTACTGGCAGTCTATAATGTAGACTGTAGCCTGGTTATTAAGCTGGGTGAGTGTACTGGCAGTCTATAATGTAGACTGTAGCCTGGTTATTAAGCTGGGTGAGTGTACTGGCAGTCTATAATGTAGACTGTAGCCTGGTTATTAAGCTGGGTGAGTGTACTGGCAGTCTATAATGTAGACTGTAGCCTGGTTATTAAGCTGGGTGAGTGTACTGGCAGTCTATAATGTAGACTGTAGCCTGGTTATTAAGCTGGGTGAGTGTACTGGCAGTCTATAATGTAGACTGTAGCCTGGTTATTAAGCTGGGTGAGTGTACTGGCAGTCTATAATGTAGACTGTAGCCTGGTTATTAAGCTGGGTGAGTGTACTGACAGTCTATAATGTAGACTGTAGCCTGGTTATTAAGCTGGGTGAGTGTACTGGCAGTCTATAATGTAGACTGTAGCCTGGTTATTAAGCTGGGTGAGTGTACTGGCAGTCTATAATGTAGACTGTAGCCTGGTTATTAAGCTGGGTGAGTGTACTGGCAGTCTATAATGTAGACTGTAGCCTGGTTATTAATGCACCATCAGAGTATGAGAGCTCGGGGCAAGCATCTATACTATGGGGACCCCATGTAGATGCTTGCCCCGAGCTCTCATACTCTGATGGTGCATTGTCCTTGAGTTGTGCGCCTTTTGGCGTCATCTGGTCCAACCCATATGAGACGAGGCTCGAAGGAAAGCTGTCTCGGGTGTGAACCAATCAACTCCAAGGACAGTCCATACATTATCAGAGTTATGTTTTTAGTTTGTATTATGACTGCAGGTATTGCGGTCTATGCAAACATGACTCCTTGCAAAAAGGTGTCAGTTTTGTTGCCAGATAGAAGGGTAAAGAACCAATTATCATATTTTTACTGGCAAATGAGGTCCCATAGTGGGGTCAGACATTTGTGACGATGTGTGACGAGGGGGGGGGGGGGTGAGAAATGTGACGTCACGTCAAAATGTGCAACTTTAAATGAATGTAGGCGACACGTTCTACTTAGTTAAATAGACTTTGTAATAAATGTCTTCTGCTACAGCATCAGAGTGCAGCGCCGCATTAAATACGCACTACAATCACAACAGTTTAGAGCGATTTGAAGCACGTTTTATTTTAAATGGAATGGGGGGGGGGGGCAGAGCTTTGTGACGTCAAATTTTAGGGTGGGGGGGGGTCTGACTACATGTGCCTGTCTAATAATGATTTGCTTGCTGAGTTTATAGACACACTACTCCCTACTCTTTGGTTCTTTCGGTAGAGTCACGTGGGTATCAAATGACAAGTGAAATCACGACGTTTCGACTGCAACACGAGCAATCAGCATCAGGTGGGAACCCAGAACAAGAAACGTTTCTTGCTGAAGTGGGAGAGAGAGTTGCCCTGGTAAGAGGTCCTGCGGGCCTCATGGCCCAGCCAACGCAGCCTCGCCTGCCGGAGGAGCTCACCGATGGGACTTTGCCCAGCAGCGTCCTTCACGAGCCTCCTCCACAGAGGCATTTCTTGACACCGCTGGTACCAGTCATCGGCAAGTCCACTCAGCTCCACATCATCCTGTACCACGTCACTCCATCTCTTCTCTAGCCCGTGCCGCGCCCATTTAGCCCCTCAAATCGGCAGAACAAAAGCTGTTTAGGCATGCGGTGGCTAGGCATGCGGTGGCTGGGCATGCGGTGGCTGGGCATGCGGTGGCTGGGCATGCGGTGGCTAGGCATGCGGTGGCTGGGCATGCGATGGCTAGGCATGCGATGGCTAGGCATGCGGTGGCTGGGCATGCGGTGGCTAGGCATGCGGTGGCTGGGCATGCGGTGGCTAGGCATGCGGTGGCTAGGCATGCGGTGGCTGGGCATGCGGTGGCTAGGCATGCGGTGGCTAGGCATGCGGTGGCTGGGCATGCGGTGGCTAGGCATGCGGTGGCTAGGCATGCGGTGGCTAGGCATGCGGTGGCTAGGCATGCGGTGGCTAGGCATGCGGTGGCTAGGCATGCGGTGGCTAGGCATGCGATGGCTAGGCATGCGGTGGCTGGGCATGCGGTGGCTAGGCATGCGGTGGCTAGACATGCGGTGGCTAGGCATGCGGTGGCTGGGCATGCGGTGGCTAGGCATGCGATGGCTAGGCATGCGGTGGCTAGGCATGCGGTGGCTAGGCATGCGATGGCTGGGCATGCGGTGGCTAGGCATGCGGTGGCTAGGCATGCGGTGGCTAGGCATGCGATGGCTAGGCATGCGATGGCTGGGCATGCGGTGGCTAGGCATGCGGTGGCTAGGCATGCGGTGGCTAGGCATGCGGTGGCTAGGCATGCGATGGCTGGGCATGCGGTGGCTAGGCATGCGGTGGCTAGGCATGCGGTGGCTAGGCATGCGATGGCTAGGCATGCGGTGGCTAGGCATGCGATGGCTGGGCATGCGATGGCTGGGCATGCGGTGGCTAGGCATGCGATGGCTGGGCATGCGGTGGCTAGGCATGCGGTGGCTAGGCATGCGATGGCTGGGCATGCGGTGGCTAGGCATGCGGTGGCTAGGCATGCGGTGGCTAGGCATGCGGTGGCTAGGCATGCGGTGGCTAGGCATGCGATGGCTAGGCATGCGGTGGCTGGGCATGCGGTGGCTGGGCATGCGGTGGCTGGGCATGCGGTGGCTGGGCATGCGATGGCTAGGCATGCGATGGCTAGGCATGCGGTGGCTGGGCATGCGATGGCTGGGCATGCGATGGCTAGGCATGCGATGGCTAGGCATGCGATGGCTAGGCATGCGGTGGCTGGGCATGCGATGGCTGGGCATGCGATGGCTAGGCATGCGGTGGCTAGGCATGCAGTGGCTGGGCATGCGGTGGCTAGGCATGCGGGCTACATGACCCAGCCAACGCAGCCTCGCCTGCCGGAGGAGCTCACCGATGGGACTTTGTCCAGATCTCAATCTTAATTATGGAGCTTTCGTGACTGCATGAATTATTCTTTGGTTCTTTCGGTTAAGTCACGTCTAAAGATAAAATAATAAATTATTTAATTTATTAAATAATGATTTACTTATTTTATTATTTTATCTCTCGGTTAAGTCACGTCTAAAGATAAAATAATAAATTAAAATAAAGCATATTATTTTAATTTGTTATTTTATCTTTTAGACGTGACTTAACCGAAAGAACCAAGATACACACAGATACACACACAGACAGACACACACAGATACACACACACAGATACACACAGATACACACACAGACAGACACACACAGATACACACAGATACACACAGACACAGATACACACAGACACAGATACACACACACAGACACACACACACACAGACACACAGATACACACACACACAGATACACACAGACACAGATATACACAGATACACACAGACACAGATACACACACACAGATACACACAACACAGATACACACACACAGACACACACACACAGATACACACAGATACACACACACACAGATACACACACACAGATACACACAGACACACACACACAGATACACACACACAGATACACACACACAGACACACACACACAGATACACACACACAGATACACACAGACACACAGATACACACACACAGACACACACACACAGATACACACAGACACACACACACAGATACACACACACAGATACACACAGAGACACACACACACACAGATACACACACACAGATACACACAGACACAGACACACACACAGATACACACACACACACAAACACACACACAGATACACACACACACAGACACACACACACACAGATACACCCACACAGATACACACAAACACACAGATACACACAGACACACACACAGATACACACACACAGACACACACAGACACACACACACACACAGATACACACACACACAGATACACACACACAGATACACACACACACACAGATACACACACACAGATACACACAGACACACACACACAGATACACACACACACAGATACACACACACAGATACAGACACACACAGACACACACACACAGATACACACACACACACACAGATACACACACACAGATACACACAGACACACCACACAGATACACACACACAGATACACACAGACACACAGATACACACACACAGACACACACACACAGATACACACACACAGATACACACACACACAGATACACACACACAGATACACACAGACACACACACACAGATACACACACGGATACACACACACACACACACACAGATACACACACACAGATACACACAGACACAGATACAGAAACAGAGATACACACATACACAGAGATACACACATACACACAGATACACACACACAGATACACACACACAGATACACCCACACAGATACACACACACACACAGACACACAGATACACACACACAGATACACACAGACACACACACACATATACACACACACAGATACACACACACAGACACACACACACACAGATACACACACAGATACACACACAGATACACACACACAGACACACACACACACAGATACACACACACACAGATACACACACACAGATACACACAGACACACACACACAGATACACACACACACAGATACACACACACACAGATACACACACACAGATACACACACACAGACACACACAGACACACAGATACACACACACAGATACACACAGACACACAGATACACACACACAGACACACACACACAGATACACACACAGATACACACACACAGATACACACACACAGATACACACAGACACACACACACAGATACACACACACAGATACACACACACACACACACAGATACACACACACAGATACACACAGATACACACACACAGATACACACAGACACACAGATACACACACACAGATACACACAGATACACACACACAGATACACACACACAGATACACCCACACAGATACACACAGACACACAGATACACACAGACACACACACAGATACACACACACAGACACACACAGACACACACACACACACAGACACAGACAGATACACACACACAGACACACACAGACACACACACACAGATACACACACACAGATACACACAGACACACACACACAGACACACACACACACAGATACACACACACAGACACACACAGACACACACACAGATACACACACACAGACACACACAGATACACACACACAGACACACACACAGACAGACACACACACAGAGACACACAGACACACACACACAGATACACACAGACACACACACACAGAGACACACACAGAGAGACATAGAGACACACACAGAGACACACAGACACAGATACACACACACAGATACACACACACAGATACACACAGACACACACACAGATACACACACACAGATACACACAGACACACACACAGATACACACACACACAGATACACACACACACAGATACACACACACATACACACAGATACACACACACACAGATACACACACACACACACAGATACACACACACACAGATACACACACACACACAGATACACACACACACAGACAGACGCACACAGCAGACACACACACACGTGTGAGTCGAGTGTAAACCAATCACAGGGATGATTAGGTGCGCACGGGATACACGGATAAAGTTGTTAAGTTAAAAAAAAATCATTTTTATAACGTCGTTATTTCGTCAACTTTGCTGCAAACAAGACGAACTCACGCGCGGCCGCGTCTTGAGGACGACCATAGTTGTTAAATGTGTTAGATGTAATAATGTTTTATTTGCTTAATCCTACATTTTTATTGTAACGCTTCAAGTGGCGGGGCAGTTGGTTGGTTGGTTGGTGAGGGAAGGGCCTCATCCCCTACCAAGATGGCGTCTACAAGCAAGTTAATATCGCGCCTCATCCCCTACCAAGATGGCCTCTACAGCAAGTTAATATCGCGCCTCATCCCCTACCAAGATGGCGTCTACAAGCAAGTTAATATCGCGCCTCATCCCCTACCAAGATGGCGTCTACAAGCAAGTTAATATCGCGGCCTCATCCCCTACCAAGATGGCGTCCACAAGCAAGTCAATAGCGCGCTTCATCCCCTACCAAGATGGCGTCTACAAGCAAGTCAATAGAGCGCCTCACCCCCCACCAAGATGGCGTCCACAAGCTGGTTAATGTCGCGCCTCATCCCCTACCAAGATGGCGTCTACAAGCAAGTTAATATCGCGCCTCATCCCCTACCAAGATGGCGTCTACAAGCAAGTTAATATCGCGCCTCATCCCCTACCAAGATGGCGTCTACAAGCAAGTTAATATCGCGCCTCACCCCCTACCAAGATGGCGTCTACAAGCAAGTTAATATCGCGCCTCACCCCCTACCAAGATGGCGTCTACAAGCAAGTTTATATCGCGCCTCACCCCCTACCAAGATGGCGTCTACAAGCAAGTTAATATCGCGCCTCACCCCCCTACCAAGATGGCGTCTACAAGCAAGTTAATATCGCGCCTCATCCCTCACCAAGATGGCTTCGTGACGTGGTACAGCCACCTGACGTCACGGCCGTCCACACCATTGAGGACACCTTTTCCAACTCCCCTACTAAACATGACGTCATGACCCCTGTCTTAAACACATTAAGACTCTTCGATTTAAAGCTTTCGTGTCTCCTCGACAGACCCGTTCTTCACCTGAGGACGGCTGCTTGCGTTGTGGCCGAAACGTCGTGAGACTTATTTTATTATGTTTTATTTTTATTATTTCATTATTTCCATTCTACGTGACTTTACCGAAGCAATCAAGAAGACATTGAGACTCCCTCTACTGAAGATGACGTCATGACGCCCGTCAATAAACATTGACACCAACCCTTCCGAGCGCGGATTAATGACGTCATACAATTACATCGACACCCTCCCCGGCTCGAGAGTTAATGACGTCATACAGCCCCTCCCCACCTGGAGTGTTAATGACGTCATACAGCCCCTCCCCACCTGGAGTGTTAATGACGTCATACAGCCCCTCCCCACCTGGAGTGTTAATGACGTCATACAGCCCCTCCCCACCTGGAGTGTTAATGACGTCATACAGCCCCTCCCCTCCTGGAGTGTTAATGACGTCATACAGCCCCTCCCCACCTGGAGTGTTAATGACGTCATGCAGCCCCTCCCCACCTG